CTAGGCTATACAACAATAACGCCCCATTAAATAATAACATGATGCATGTTACTCCAAACCTAACTTTCAGCTGTTGTTGAAATGTGGAATTCAAATAAAATATTATACATATTATATTTTTGTAGGACAAGATATGTGATAGGCCGAAACATGACACTCTCCTCACATAGGTATTTGCCAGTCGCCATGATGAGACAAACATACCACAACATTTGCCATGAGTACAACCACCCAACATTGGCATCTACAAAAGAAGGTGGTACAAATCGTACAAGCACCCAGCAAGACATTAGCAAGAAACACTCTGGTTGTTTGCTGAAACTTGTAATGAAAGCTATACACACAATTTAAGGTGAGCAAAAGAAAATTAAGTGAATATCTCATCACTGTTCAGCCAGAGTACATGAAACAAATATATTGGAATGGTAAAAAAATATTGATCAGCATGGTGTGTCAGTTTTATTAAGAAACAACAATAATACATTACACACTAGCCGACAGGAAGGCTTCAGTCAAGTAGTTAAAAAATCTGAAAATACTGTCAATTGATGAATGTCTTTTCAGATTAGTACATACAGTATCTCAGTATGGTATGTTATTGATAAAGCAGCAAATGCCAATGTTTGATAACATTTTGATTTTTAACAAACCTGGTTTTGCATTATTGTAACTACTGTATTTATTCCTCAATAGGAGCAAATGACTGGATCAGATGGATGTGATGCAAACAGTTCCATCTGTGTGGACATGATGAAATGGACATGTCCAATCCATGGTTTGCAGAAGGTGGCGATGCTCAGAGCTCTGCAGCAAGTGATTGAATCCAAAATATTTCCAAAGAATTAAATTAAAATTATTTATCTATTGATTTTTTTTTCTGAAGATATACTGAAATGCCACACACTTAAGTTTTTGTTTTTTACGCATCTGGTTTATATTGCAGCATCTGGTTTATATTGCATGCCAAATTTATAATAAATAAATAAATACTGTACCAGTACGTATTACTGTACCTGTTTCACTTGCAAAATATCTTTAATATTATTAAATGGTATTATAATCCCATTCAATAGTAATCCTTTTGAAGCAAATATGTGACCCAGATTTAGAAAACAAATTTTGAGGATTAATTTTGAAATATGTAATGTACGAAGTTGATAGTACAGTATGAAAATGTGGCTCAATACATACAGGAACAACTATTTTAATATATGGCTTTGTACAGTCTTGTGTAAAGTTATTCTGTGAAACTGCTTATTTTTTTAATGTCTGGATTATGCCTATGTCTGCATGCTGATCAATTTGGTATTTGAATTTAAGAAAAAGCTTCAATTTTTTTGCTGTACACCATTTTTTGTTTAGTATTTTAAAATACAGTAGTTGAACTTGCCTATGTCATATCCAAAATGCCATTGAGAAATTGTTTGACCCTAACAAAATTTGACTTGCACTTACAGTAATGGAAAACACAACAATTCGGCATGTAAATTTAGATCGACTTAGAAATTATTAGAGTATATTATTAGTCGTCTTAGGCAAGTTTAACTGCACTGCTCTATTTATCATGTCTGATTGTCTTGTATTATTTACCATAGCCAAGATTTCTTCTTTCATGATGATATTCAACATCCATAT